CAAAAGTCTCTTAAAAAAAAAAAAAAAAACTCACTGGAAAGAATGATTTTAGCTCTTTGATGAAATGAAAAGATAAGAAAGATGAAAATGTAAAATAAGGAAAGATACGAAAAAACAGAAGTGGAGGGCAGTTTTGAGGGCCTAGGTTTAGTTGGTGATTTCAGAGTGGTAGAACTCTTTCCACATGAGTTCTTCTCCTTAGCAACTCTCTCTCCACCTCAGTTTTTGTGGGAAAAAAATTAAATCACTGTTTTAACCCATATTAAGTGCTTTTCTAAGTTATAAAGGAAAGGATAGAGGTGGGGCCGGCAGATGGCAAGATGGTTAAGGCACTGGACTCCCACATGTCTAACCATGATTTGAGTCCCAGAACTGGTGGCTTGGTTTCTCACTTTCTCTTTCTCTTGATGCTCTTGAGAGCATGTGTGCCCTGTAGCAAGTTGAAGAATAATGATAATGATTAATAAAATTAAATATTCTTCTTTTTAAAAAGAAAAAGATAGAGGTAAAAGAGTTCGTGATACTTACAATAGAGTTCTTAGAAGCTGGACAATGAAATTTGCTGTGAATAAGGAAGTAAAGACAGAAAAAAGATGACAGATAAGAACAAAGTAAGGATTTTAAGTGACTTGAGGTCACAATGAGGCTTAACAGCATTTATGGTTAGAGAAGTTGAGCAAGCAAACTGAAAAGACAGGAAATGGTGGTTTAAGTGTGGGAGAGATGTATTAGCAAATTTAGAATTTTGAAGTGATATCAAGGTACAGGATAAGACCATGAGAACTGATGACTGATAAGGAAGTGAAGCAACTGAAAGACCAATGTGTTTGATGGGATATTGATGTTACTCAAAATGCAAACAGGAGTTGGGGTATCAAAAATACTGGTTCATCTATCAACGACTTTTTTTTTTTTTTAGGTTTTTGCCATAGGGGGCATGTGCTACCCAGAAAGAGGGAAAATGAGGGTGATAATCATGCTACATTCCCTTCTCCTCCATTCTCCTCTTGAAATTTTGGGCATGTGCATGCACATACCTGATGTTATTTCCAAACCTCCATCACAGAAGAAAAATACTATATGATTACACTTATATATGGTTTTTTAATTTATTTTTTAATAATTATTTTATTTTTATTTATTCATTCATTTATTTTTTAATTTGACCAGAGAGAGACAGAGGATGAGAGTGAGAGAGAGAGGAAGTGAGAAAGCAAGCCACCAGATTCAGGACTTGAACCCTGTTCGGTCATGTGGGAGTGTCCAGCACCTTAACCACCACACCACCTGCTGGTACCTGATATATGGTTTTTTAAATAGTCAAATTTGTTTTTTAATTTGTATACCCTTTGATGAAAATGTTTGCTTTAATTATTGGACAACCATTTAGAGAATGTTGAACTATGTTGACTTACTCTTTTGTTTGTGGTTTGGGAATAAATTTATTGGATGTCTAATATATAAACAGAGAAACTTACATTGAACTATTCGATTATTTTATGATTCAAAATTATAAGAGAAAATATGTATGCAGTGGATTAGATATTCCAAATTCCTTCTTTTGTCATTTATTTTTTACTTGGAAAACTTACTTGGGTTATTCTTTAAGGAAAGGTCTGCTGGTGAAAAACTTTCTTAATTTTTTTTCATCTGGGACTTCCTTGATTTCTGCTTCATTCTTGAAGGATATTTCACTAGATATGATTGTGGGCTGATAATTTTTTGTTTCAACAAGTGAAAACATTCTTCTACTTTCTTCAGCCTCCAAGATTTTTTTTTAAGAATTATTTTATTTAACTTTATTCACTTATTTTAATTTGTCCTGAGAGGGACAGAGTGAGACAGAGGAAGAGAGAAAGTGAAAATGCAAGCTGCCAGGTCCGGAACTCACACTGCCGTAGGCCATGTGGGAGTCCAATGCCTTTAACCACCATGGCACCTGCTGGCCCCTGGCCTCCAAAACTTTTGATGACAAATTAATTTTCCACTGGGAAGGAAGAAGATGATTCAATGGCTAGTTAGAGACACCCAGGGCTCCTTTCCATGGAGCAAACCCAGAACGATAGATAAGTAACTGTACATTGAATAGGGGAGCAAGAAGGGAAAACCAGAATACACCAAGAAAGTAATGAGAAACTTCTGAGGTGCAGAGACAGATTGGAGGTGTAGAAAGGAGAAACATCAGGCTAGGATTGATCTGGAGACAAGGGGAGATCCCTACTGCAGAGAAAAAGTACGTGGAATACCTATGGCCATTGCCATTCCAATGCAGGTGCCCATGGGCCTGACTACAGGAGAGTTCCCATAGGGATCAGAGATCTTGAGCCCAGT